CCCCCCCCCAAGCACCAAGAATACAAAGCATCCCTTGCCCCAGACATAAGAACATAAGAGAAGCCAATGTTGGATCAGGCCAAAGGCCCATCCAGTCCAACACTCTGTCACACAGTGGCCAGAAATACCAGGGGCCATCAGGAGGTCCAGCAGTGGGGCCATTGTGTCAACAGGACAATGTCACTTGTGGGGAGAACCTGGAAGTGACATCACATCTCTCTAGGAATTACCTTAAGAGTTTTTGGCAATTCCTAGAGAGGACTGACCTTGGCTGCTGCCGCCCCCTAGTCTGGCAGCCTAGCAGGGACAGTTGCACTCACATCACACTGGTGTGCTGATGTCCTTCCTGTGAAAACTGGAACTGACATCATGACATGGGGGGGGTGCTCTAGGATTTACAGAAAAAAATCTATGGTATGTCATGATGTCACTTCTGTTTTTTCCTGGAAGTGATGTCAGTGCGCCACCCCCCATTTTCCTCCCACCGGCATGCCCAGTGCCAGCAGGCAACAACCAGGTTTGCCGGAAGATCTCCTGAAATAGCTTTATGTGGGGTGGCCCCTGTTCAGAAAATTCATTGGGTCAAGTATGCAGCTTCATATGGAAATCCACCTCTCCTCCACTGCTATGAAAAAATATGGGACCAATTTATCCTCGCTAAACTCACAAATATCACCCAGACATCGAATGTCGACACATCGGCATCTTCCTCACGATTTGTTTCTACACGGTCAGGTGTTCTCCAATATATGTCAGAGAAGGACATTCTCCCTTCAAAGTCATCGTATCTCCCCTGGATCCACTTCTAGTTGTATCCAAGCATTAGTCTTTCAACGAAGCTCCACATATATTGGCAGAGTTCATTTAAACTCTTTCAAGATTAATCATCGATCCTTTATTTCTTGACTTTGAATTTGGCTCTTCTATATAAGCTTTTCCGTATAGTACGGTTCAGTACATTGCAATCTGGTTCGTTTATGTTTACTTCGTTAATTTCTTTAATGTTACATATTCCCACAACCATCAACTTTATGTATTTCGAATTCTGGTGTGTATTGTTGTTTCAAAAGTTTCTTTTAAAAGTTTTTTAAAAAGAACGCAGCTTCATGGCTATTTGACCGGGCTCGCTCACAGAAACAGATCGCACCCGTTTCAAAAGCAATTTCTGGCACATAAATACAAAGTATTTTAAAGCCACATTCATAGGGTTGCCAGCCTCCAGGTGGGGCCTGGGGATCTCCTGCTTTTACAACTGATCTCCAGCTGACCGAGATCAGCTCCCCTGGATGAAATGGCTGCTTTGGAGGGTGGATTGTATGGCATTGTACCCATGCTGAGGCCCCTCCCCTCCCCAACTTCTGACACACTTCCGGTGATGTCAGGGGGTGTGGCATATGCAAATAGGTTATGCTAATGAGTTATGCTAATGAGCTCCTGCACCTCTTTTTCTGCGAAATTACGCCTGCCTACAGGGTTGCCATAAATTGATTGCAACTCGACAGCAATTTACATTACACATTCAAACTACCAGGAGGGAAGGCGGCATGGCAGAGTCCTGTCTCATCAGACCTCAGAAGCTAAGCAGGCTCAGAAATGCAATGGGAGACCACCGAGGAAGACTCTGCAGAGGAAGGCAATGGCAAACTGCCTCTGCTTCTACCTTGCCTTGAAATTCCCTGGCTGGGGCTGCCATAAGTCTTGGATGGGAGACCACCAAGGAAGACTCTAAAGAGGAAGGCAATGGCCAGCCACCTCTGCTTCTCCCTTCCCTTGAAAGCCCCTGGCTGGGGCTGCCATAGGATGGGAAGACCACCAAGGAAGTCAATGGCCAACCACCTCTGCTCCTCACTTGCCTTCAAAGCCCCTTGCTGGGGCTGCCATAAGTCTTGCATGGGGAGACCACCAAGGAAGTCTCTGCAGAGGAAGAAGGCAATGGCAGATGACCTCTACTATTCACTTCTCTTAGAAGCCCCTTGCTGGGGTCACCATAAGTCTTGCATGGGGAGACCACCAAGGAAGTCTCTGCAGAGGAAGAAGGCAATGGCAGATGACCTCTACTATTCACTTCTCTTAGAAGCCCCTTGCTGGGGTCACCATAAGTCACCCTCAACTTCACAGAACTTTACAGGCATTGAGCCTACCATATTTGAGAGAGAATATTCTCTCAAAGGAGCACAGAGTACTGGAGATGAGACTGCTCAGTGTATGAAGCTAGTTTGGTGTAGTGGTTAAGTGCGCGGACTCTAATCTGGGAGAACCGGGTTTGATTCCCCACTCCTCCACTTGCACCTGGCTGGATGACCTTGGGCAAGCCGTAGTTCTGATAAGAGCTGTTCTTGAAAAAAAAGCAGTTTCTGTCAAGAGCTCTCTCAGCCCCGCCTGCCTCACAGGAGGGTGTCTGTTGTGGGGAGGGGAAGGGAAAGGAGTTTGTAAGCCACTCTGAGTTTGTGGGGAAGGGAAGGGAAAGGAGTTTGTAAGCACTATCTTTGGGTAGTGAAGGGCGGGGTATAAATCCAATCTCTTCTTCTTCTCCTCCTTCTTCTTCTTCTTCTCCTTCTCCTTCTCCTTCTCCTTCTTCTTCTTCTTCTTCTTCTTCTTCTTCTTCTTCTTCTTCTTCTTCTTCTTCTTCTTCTTCGTGTCCCCGACTATATAGAATTCTGAAAAGCAGTTTGCTAGATTTGCACCATGGGATGGGTGGGGGCTCAGTGGTAGAGCATCTGCTTGGCATGCAGAAGGTCCCAGGTTCAATCCCACGCGTCTCCAATTAAAAAGACCAGGTCATAAGTGCTACGAAAGACCTCAGCCTGGAGCCCTGTAGAGCGACCGCCAGTCTGAATAGACAAGTACTGACCCCGATAGACCAAGGGTCTGATTCAGTATAAGGCAGATTCATATGTGTGTTCATCCAGAAAAGCTACCAAAACATTCTCATTTTAAAAAGGCTTTCCCAGCTGCCGGCTGCCAGAAGATAGATTTTAAATCTTGCTCGTTGTGCTTTTCTCTCTGTTTGTCCTTCATGACATTTTATTACTCTATTTTAACACTCATTGGGGGGGGTTAATGTACTTGGGGGTGGGGTCCCGTAACCCATCTTGTGAACGTTTGCTGAAAGCCATGGTACGCATTTATAAATAAAGAAATAAATAAGGCTAAACCACTCGGCAGATGGCTTAAATACTCAGCAACTTCCCTGTCACTTAATAAATATCCAGCCGAGCCAGGGCAGCCAGCCAATTGCTCGCAAAGACATTCTGAGCATGGACGGACGGACGGGAGTTTGACTTTTCTTTTTTTCCTTTTTGCTTCCCAGTGCCTCTTCTCCACCCAGCCATCCCTCTTTCCCCACAACACTATCTTTAGAAGAGAGAACGCACAGAAGAGAGAGACGATTTTGATATATCTATCTATCTATTCCGGATGATTTTTGCCGCAGATAACTCCCAAGCATCTCGGATGACAAGAACTGATTCCATAGCAGAGGGCTTCTTTGGGTTTTTGCAGGTCGGCACCCATCTGTTGTGGAGCCTCAGCTTTTAACTGACAGGTAAGTCCATCTCTCTCTGACCCTTCGTCCTGAGGCAACATTTAGGAAGCCTTGAGGGGAAATTAACTGGTCCCTAAACCCAACACAAAGGCCGCTAGTCTCCATCTCCCTTTTCAGGAAACTACTTGAGTTTTCATTTAATTCTGTCCCCATCTCTAAGGTATGACCTGGGAACCCCCGGAATTACAGCTCATCTCCAGAGATATACAGAGATGACACGAAGCTAGGTGGGACTGCTAATTCTGATGAAGACAGAGTCAGGATTCAAAATGATCTCGATAGGCTGGAACAGTGGGCGGAGACAAATAAAATGAATTTCAGTAGAGATAAGTGCAAAGTCCTACACTTAGGTACAAAAAATCAAAGGCACAGATATAGAATGGGAGGGACTTGGCTTGACAGCAGCTCATGTGAAAGGGATCTAGGTGTTCTGGTTGATCACAAGATAAACATGAGCCTGCAGTGCGATGTGGCTGTGAAGAAAGCTAATGCAATCTTAGGATGGATTCACAGAAGCCTTGTGTCCAGATCACGGGAGGTGGTAGTTCCGCTCTATTCTGCTCTGGTCAGGCCTCACCTGGAGTCCTGTGTCCAGTTTTGGGCACCACATTTTAGGAAGGATGTTTACAAGCTCGAGCGTGTCCAGAAGAGGGCAACCAGGATGGTGAGAGGGTTGGAATCCAAGTCTTATGAGGAAAGGCTGAAAGAGTTGGGTCTGTTTAGCCTGGGAAAGAGAAGGCTTAGAGGGGACATGATTGCAGTCTTCAAGTATTTGAAGGGCTGTCATGTAGAAGATGGAGCAGATCTATTCTCTCTTGCTCCGGATTGCAAGACTAGATCTAATGGGTGAAAGTTACAAGGGAGTCGATACCGGCTAAATATCAGGAGAACCTTCCTAACTGTAAGAGTGGTTGAGCAGTGGAACAGTCTGCCTCGGAAGGTGGTGGATGCTTCTTCACTGGATGTTTTGAAGCGGAGGCTGGACGACCATCTTTCGGGTATGTTGTAGGTATGTAGGGCTCTCTTTCAGCTATGCTCCCGCAGAGTGCAGGGGGTTGGACTAGATGACCTGCAAGGTCCCTTCCAACTCTAACATTCTATGATTCTTTGATCAGTTCCCCTGAAGAAAATGGATGCTTTGGAAGGTGGACTCTATGGCATTGTACCCCACTGAGGTTTCTGTCCTCCCCAGGCTCCACCCCCCAATCTCCAGGAGTCTGCCGACGTGGATCTAGCAACCCTTCCCCCCATCCCCCATCAGTGGCCGGGGGTGACCTGGCAACCCTGTATCAGACAATAAAACATCACCAAACAATGTGCAGTTATTAGCTTCACTGAAGAAGAGGGACAGATGAATATGGAGGCCACTTTCTGTCACCCAGGCAAGTAGCCTTTGATGCTCTTCATGAATCTGTATAACCCACTTTTAAGCCATCTATGGCCATAGCCTCCAGGAGGCAGTGAATTCCACAATTTAGTTACTGGGCGCAAGTGGTTAAGATGCTGAACTGCAGGCCGGAAGGTCGGCGGTTCGGCAGTTCGAGACCCGAGTGCCGCGTGACAGAGCGAGCTCCCATCTTTGGCCCCAGCTCCTGCCAACCTAGCAGTTCAAAAGCAAGAAATTGCAAGTCAATAAATAGGTACTGCTTCGATGGGAAGGGAACAGCGTTCCATGCACGGCCTTGGTGTTTAGTCATGCCGGCCACGAGACCACGGAAACATCTTCGGACAGCGCTGGCTCTTTGGCTTGGAAACGGAGGTGAGCACTACATCCCTAGAGTCAGATTCGACTGGCTTCCGAGCAAGGGAAACCTTTACCTTTTCCCTAAAACCCAATAAGTATTTCCCTCAGTTTCCCCAAGGGGGTTCCAAAAGAGTAGAGCAAGGGGAATATGCCACCCAACTTTAAATTTGGCTAGATGCATAAAGGAGCTGGTAGGTGTGGGCTCACTATTGCCTGAAATTTAGATAGGGTTGCCAGGTTGAGGGTGAGGACATGAGGGACGTGAGACATCATGTAGATCTCACAGTGTTCCTTCTGAGGAAAACCCTGAAGCGCCACAGGGTAGTTTTGGTCAGCGCCAGAAAATCTATGATAAAACCACAGATTTTTCCCAGTGATTCCTAGAGCTACCCTACGGCACTTCCGGGGTTTCCCTGGAAGTTATGTAGCAACATTGGTGATGTCACTTGGTTGGTCGGTTTTTTCTCTGAGAAAAGAGGGCTGACAGGGGGAGACGTCCTGACTTACCCGGAGGCCTGGCAACTGGTGGTGGGTAAAGGGGACTCAGCAGTGGGGAAAGGCCGAGACCAGTGTCTCATAAACATCTCCAGCAATGTGGTAATGTCACTGGAGGAGGAGGAGGGGGCGGAGGGAGAGGAGGAGGAGGAGCGGGGGGGTTGGTTTTATAACCCACTTTTCACTACCCGAAGGAGTCTCAGAGTTGCTTACAATCCCCTTTCCTGCCTCTCCCCACAACGGACACCCTGTGAGGTAGGTGGGGCTGAGAGTGCTCTGAGAGAGCGGTGACTGGCCCAAGGTCACCCAGCAGGCTTCATGTGGAGGAGTGGGGAATCAAGCCCAGTTCTCCTGATTGGAGTCCGCCGCTCTTAACCACTACACCAAACTGGCTCTCATCTCATGGCGTCATCTCGTCGCTGGTGACGTGGAATGCTCTGATATTTGGAGAACAACTCTATGGTAGAAGCTGTTTTCACCACTGAGTGTTTGCCCAACTACCAGAATGTCCCGTGTCACCAGCAACGCAACGACATTACTTCCGCTGTGTGTCAGAAGTGACGTCGCCATGTTACTGGCTACACCACTGCCACACTGGGCTAGGCCTCTCCCCCCCCTGCTGCCAGTAAGTCCCTCGCTGGCCAGCTGGTCAGCGGGAACCCTACTAGCAGCCCTAGACATAGAAGGGAAATCACTGCGGCGCGGCCTCTGTCAGCTACTTTCCTTCACGGCATTTTTCTGAGGTGAAGTGGCTGATAGGGCTCTTCTGAGAGAAAGGAGGACAATGCAGCGTCAGGCTTAGCTTGGAATTTCCCCCTCCCCCCCCCCACATACTTTTCAACCAAGAACCGTTAGGAAGTTTCTTCAACACGCAGCTTGTGGGATTTACTGCCAAAAGATGGAGAGATGGGCACACACTTCGACAGCTTTAAAAAGGGGATTAGCCAAAGTCCTAAAGGAATAGGCTAACCAATGGCTATTAGCGATCATAGCAGTCAAGCTTCTCCATTCAAATACCCATTGCATAAAAAAGGTAAAGGTTCCCTTGCTCGAAAGCCAGTCGAGTCCGACTCTAGGGATGCGGTGCTCATCTCCGTTTCAAAGCCGAAGAGCCAGCGCTGTCCAAAGATGTTTCCGTGGTCATGTGGCCGGCATGACTAAACACCGAGGCGCACGGAACGCTGTTACCTTCCCACCGAAGTGGTACCTATTTATCTACTTGCAGTTTCTTGCTTTCGAACTGCTAGGTTGGCAGGAGCTGGAACTAGAGACGGGAGCTCACTCCATCATGCGGCACACTCGGGTCTCGAACTGCTGAACTACCGACCTTCCACAGCCTGCAGTTCAGCGTCTTAACCACTTGAGCCACCGCAGCTCCAAACAAAATATAAATAAAGGTAAAGGTTCCCTTGCTTGAAAGCCAGTCAAATCCGACTCTAGGGTTGCGGTGCTCATCTCCGTTTCAAAGCCAAAGAGCCAGCGCTGTCCGAAGACATTTCCGTGGTCATGTGGCCGGCATGACTAAACACCGAGGCGCACGGAACGCTGTTGCCTTCCCACCGAAGCGGTACCTATTTATCTACTTGCAATTTCTTGCTTTCGAACTGCTAGGTTGGCAGGAGCTGGAACTAGAGACGGGAGCTCACTCCGTCATGCGGCAACCCGGGTCTTGAACTGCTGAACTACCGACCTTCCACAGCCTGTAGTTCAGCGTCTTAACCATTTGAGCCACCGCAGCTCCTACCCATTGCTTAGGGGCTATGATAACAAAGTGCCTTCATGCCCCGTGGATGGGATCCATTTGACTCCTGGGAAAACCCAAGTGCTGGATTTGCTGCAACTTGGTCTGACGCAGCAGGGCCGCTCTTACGGTATTTCCAGGTTGATAAGCCAAAAGCGGATTATCTGAACATGGAGTTCCCACAGTTGGCCATTGATAAGAGAAGATAAGAAATTGGATTTATACCCCACCCTTCACTACCCAAAGGAGTCTCAGAGCGGCTTACAATCCCTTTCCGTTCCCCTCCCCACAACAGACATCCAGTGAGGTAGGTGGGGCTGAGAGAGCTCTTTCAAGAACTGCCTGTGAGAGAACAGCTCTGAAAGAACTTGTGACTGACCCAAGGTCAGACCAGCAGCTGCATGTGGAGGAGTGGGGAATCAAACCCGGTTCTCCCAGATTAGAGTCCGCGCTCCTAACCATTACATCAGACTGGCTCTCCTGATGACCCTAATCTAAGCAGCTGAACATTAGATCTAATATATGTGCTAGTTGTGATGTTTCTAGGGCCTTCACTGCACAGGTGCTGGGCAATACACTGCCAGATTTTGAAAAACAGAGGGGTTCTCATGGCCCTGGCAGCCTACAATACGTGGCTGGCGACAGTCACCTTGGTGTGTCAAATGCATTCAGCAGAACTGCTCTTAATACTTCCAGCTCTGCTTTTATTTTATTTTTATTTATTTACAAATGTTTGTGTGCCACCTTCCTGCTCGATGAGGGCCACCAAGGCAGCCAGTAGTTAAACTGTTATACAAACGTGTCATAAAAACCATCAACACCAAACCTAAAGTAGCTATTAAAAGTGCATAAAACAGTAAGTAAGACACAGGGGAGGAAGGAGGGATCATTGAAGGAATGCCAGATGAAACAAGAAGGTCTTCACCCACTGGTGGAAGACAGCGACAGAAAGGTACAGGCGAGTCTCCCTGGAAAGAGAGTTACATAGTTTTGGTGCCATCTCAAAGAAGGTCCTGTCTC